GGGGCTTGAGAACTAACAGCCCAACAGCATTGCTATTCTGAGGATATTCTGATATATGTCTTTGAATAGACAAGACACCTGTGGCCACACCAACTCTGGATCACCCACCATCATTTCCTTCGTGACCTTTAAAGATGTCAGATGAGACTGGTTTCCCCCCTCCTGCCCACGGTTGCTTCATTCTGCACTAGATGCAATTTCAGGTCCCAGAAGTGAAATCAGGCAGCACATTAATCAACTCTGCTTCCCAGTCCCTGCACTTCTGTCTTTCCATAGTTTATTTTTCTGGCTAATATAACACAGATTTAAAAATAGGGGTATATTACCCTCTCAAAATACATACGATTCTGGTACCAGCAGTGAAATAATCTCATTTAGATGAAAGGAAACTATTTTCTTTTGGTGGAGTGAAATACCTTATCTGCCTCTGGATTATATTCAAGTGCTATGCCTCCTACAGTATATAGGACTGATATTGCATGCAAGTCATCTGCTCAGTGTATTTTTGGTGTGTTGTTGGAAAATATTTCCCTCGATAATTCTTCAGTGTATGCTGCTGCATGGATCGCAAAACGAAAGAGCTGCATTATTGAAATAAAAGTATGGAGGGGTTTAAAATGCACTCGGCTAACGTGTGGAACTTAAAGGCTAGCTCTGTAACTGGGAGGGAGAGAAAAATTGGATCTGGACCACCTCTTGTTCATTCTTTGCTGGTGTCAGAGCCAGCAGAATGCTTTATCAGCACGGTTTTACAGCGAGAGGAACAGCCCCGACCTGAGTACTGTGCTTCAGGTAAAACACACAGCAGTGCTATGTCAAAAGTGTATTTGGAAAGGAAGAAAATGTGCTTGCTTCGTGGGGCGAAATGATCCAAAACAAATTGATTGAACAGCGCCATAGTTAATTTAATAGCGGACGGTAATTTTAAAATCTTACCTATAGGAATGTTGGCATAAAATTAGACTGAAAACCTGACAAAATCTGCAATTTTCCTAATTCTTTTTTTTTTTTTTTTTTTTTTTTTTATAAACTGAATGAACGGTTTCTCAAACTTCTAAGTGAAGTTATTTTTCTGCTGCAGTTGAGTTGTGTAAAACCCACACATCACATTAAAAAATAGAAAATGGTACACTAACGTTTTATTTTGTTCTGGAGAAAACAACATTGCCATGTAATTGCTTTTTTTCTGAGCTCTTTCACTTGACCCGAGTTGCTTATTATTATGTTTTAGGTGCCGCAGCTTAGGGTTTATTGACCTCTGCTTGTTGCCCATTTGTTTTATAGTTACCGAGTATTGTAAGGCTTGGAAAGATTAGTGTAAAAAATTATAATTTGCTCCTGTTCATTAGAAATGGATGCAGAAAAAGCGCTAGCAGTAAATGTCTTCTTTTTCAGCTTTTATTATAAAAGCCTAAAGGGCCACAGTACCTCAAGCTGCTCGGCATTAACTCATTCAGTCCCGGAAAGTGTGACTTTGGATGGGCCGGGCTGAGGACTGGCCATATGAGGTAAAACAAGGAAAATCACATGTTGGAGGAAAGCTGTTTATAACAACTGCATTTGAGATTTTTTTTTCCCCAACATGTCATCATCTTTTCAGTCTCCCAAGAGGTAGCGTTGCCATAATTAATGGGGAACCAAAAGTAACTAGTTTTTCAGGTTGCTGGTCCACACTCCTTTAACGAAGTGCCTTATTCACAGGGGTATCACATCTCACGGCAGCCCCACCACCTCCTGGTGCTGCTGTACTATTTTGTAATGGAGTTGCTACCATCATTTTTCCTCCTGGGTTTACACAGGCTAGTATATTACCTACGGTCCATAAGCCAGGTGTCAGGCTTGGCTGCATGCAGCTTGAAGAGGCTGGCTGCAAATGCTCGCATCTTGATAAGGTCAAAACATTAGAGTATTACATATGAATTTAGACCACTGCCATGAATAATGCGGTGTATGGATGAAGTAAAAATTGATGTAGTAATCAAAATTCTTTTACTGAGCGAAATGAAAAGCCACCCAAAACGAATGTGAAGAATCAAAAAGATGTGTTAGACCTTTACAGTTTAATTGTGAGAAAAGCCACAGGTGTTCGTGCCTTCTGTCTGCTGCTCAGGGAGAGAAGGAGCAGTGGAACCTACCTCACAAGATGACTTCAAATGCTTTTACCTGAACAGTCCTGTTTGAAGAAATCAGGAAGCTCTTTCTATAAGGATTTAATTTTCAGGTGTGAATTAGAGAAAGAGAAGGTTTTGCATGGTACGTGAAACCTTCTTCAACGTCTAGCACAAGTGGTATATAGCTCGATCCCTCAGTTCAAGGAATAGACTTGATACTAAAAAAATGGCTTACTAAAAATAACTAGCACATACCATTAAATGTCTTCCCTAGGTATTTTTAGATTGAATTAACTTTAAATTTTAAATTGGATAAATGAATTAATTTTAAAATTCAATTAAAGCAATTTACTTCATGTAACTTAGAAGCTGAGCTTTATACTTTAATAAAAAACATAAAAGCATAGACATAGAATACAGACACGATACTTTCAAACTTATTTTTACCTGAACTCACTAGGCAGTATAAGCATTTTTTTCCTATCAAAAATGTCCTGTCTATTTGTTTGCTTGTAAGGGAAGTTACGGAAAGATGAAATGTAGAAAGAAAACTTACTGTGTACTTCAACTGGACTGTGTACTTGAACTCTGAATACATCAAATTATGTTGGTACAAAGAAATACTGAAGGGGAAAAAAATCACATACTATATTTACATGGATTTTAAGAAGTTGTATAGCTTTTTTATTCTCCTAGTTACACAAAAGAAACTGTGAATTAACTTGATGGCTGCTTGAAAGGATTAATTCAGAAACACAATGTCTTAGAAGGACTAAAAGCCCTGGAACACATTTCTAAAAGCTTCTCAAATTCTAAGAAAAGGTAGCTTAAGATCTGTAATTTTAAATTAAAATATTTATTTTAAAATCAGTAGATGCTAGGCTGCTAGTACCATTTTGTTCACTGAAAATGTCAGTAGACAGTTTTGTAACTTTTCTTTGCTTGATTAACTACACGGTGGTGTCCTGAACTGTCAGCTTTCTGTTGTGAACTATTAGCCACTAATCCAAATGCACAAGCCTACTGTGTTCAGGAACATGAATTTCTACTTCCACCTCCACTGGGTAGGTCATCCTGCTAGTATTTCAGAGACAGTTCTCTACTCGTAGCCCTCTTATTTTAGCACGTTCTCAGCCAATTGATGACATCCAGCAAATGTTTTTTTTTTTCCTTCAACATAAGTTTTCTTTGTGTTTTAAATACCATTTTATTTAGCCAAGCATACTGTACTTTGCAGATAGTAATTTTTATTGCACCCTGTGAACAAGGGTAGTAAGTCTTAACAGTGGAGGTGCAGAAGACCCTAGCGGAACAACTAGTAGTAGTTGTATTTCTAGTTCTCCATTAAAGATGCATTAAGCCCCAATTCCGTGGTTACTCTATGCAATTTCAAGTAACCAAAGGCAGCCTTGTATGAGAGCTTTGCCCGTTGCTTGCAAGGAGAGCTGAAGAAACGACTGTCTGATGGGCTTTCTCTGTATCTTTCCCTGACTACTGTTTTTACCTCTTATGTTTTTCAGCTAAGGCAGGAAATGTAATTACAGTGTATAATGACACAACAGCCCCAGAAACATGAGATTGATTCCCATGACGGCTGAAAAACTCTCCATGCAGTATGTACAAACAGGCCCAGTTTCTGAGTTCTAATTAACTTTATTAATGTTTAGTGCAGGAAGTACGAAGGCAACTTAAACAAGGATATAAAAAGCACTGGAGCATTGAAACACTGGTTTCATGTAACTGACTCTTATTGAAAGACATATTTTTCAGCATTTTGTAAAGAAAAATAGAGTAATTTAGAAGAAAGATATTAGGTACCTAATACAGTCTTGTAATAAGGAAGCTTTAAATAACGGAGCAGAGATACTAATAGTAGCTTCCTGCTTGGTAACATAGGTAGCGATTCTTTATGATGTGCAATTAATAAATACGATAGTGAACATGTAACAATGTACAATGACAGTGCGATAAAAGAGATGCAATTATGTGCAAGATTCCTATTGTGCCAGCAAATAAGACTTTACGGGCTACTGGAAAATGAGTTTGTGAAAAACCAATTGTAAAAACCTTTTCCATTACATGTTCCTTTTATAGAAACATATTAACTCACATGTGAAAAGATAAAAAATTACACTGGTAAATAACTGTGAAGACATTTTCCCCCACTACGGACACAATTGCAAAACCTTGCAATCACAGAGATTGTATATATTAGTTTGATACAATAATTATAACTAAGCTTAAGAGCAGTGATATATTAATTACACATAAAGTATATTACTTGCATAGATCTTCTCTTTACCATCCATGGATTTCCATTTTGTAAATACATATATAATTCAGCAAGCTTTGGTGCTCTTTGATGAACTCAGATTAGAACATGGCTGATTTATGAGACATATTTCCTATTACTATAATTGCAAAGGATGCTATAATAAAACTTTTTAGGTGCTAAAACCTCTTAAGTATAGCAGCTGCAATACAAAGTATAAGAATACCTTTTCTGTTATTTACTGACCATTATTCCCAGGCATGGTGATTTAACAATATCTGAAGATGTTCCTATTTTGAGAAGCTCTCAAAAAATGTGGTCTGCAGTTTGTCCACTAAAAGGATTGTGCCTTGGAATACTTTAGTATCTGTTTCTTCTGATAATTTTCATATGCCCAATAGGTAAAAACATCTAATAAAAATAACCTTGCAGTTATGCAAAACTGTAGTATTCTTTTGTACAAACTTGCAAACAGTTTAGAAGTAGAGTATTCATCCATAGGCGAGTTGGGAACTCAGAAGTATGTAATGTCAATAATAGAAAATTAGTGTATCTTTAAAGATGTAGGCTATTATAGATGCCTTTTAAGTTTTGATTTACTCCTTTATGTGATTATTCTATAATGCTCGCAGTCTTGCCAGAAGAGCTTCTACTTCTGGAATGGCTTCTCCCTTAGAAGAAGACTGGATATGATCTGTTTTCTTTTCTTTGTTGCCTTCTCCACGGCAGGCTTCCTTTCTCCCAATAGCCTTGTTCCATGTCGTAGAAGAACTCGTTTCCATGTCATAAGTAACCTCTTTGGTGACTGGGCTTCTTGTCAAGTTTAAACTGATACTGTGGTGCGAACATGGCTCCTCTAGTTGTCCTTTCTGGTTCTCTGTGGAAGACAGAACAAATAAACCTTGTTTCAGCATTAAAATACTCAGTTTCATTATTTTGAAATATAAAAAGACCTCTTGATCAGCCAAAATTTCTCATGCAGATGATGTACAAGAAGAAGTAATGATTGCCAAGGAGGCCAGGCAAAAAATATTATCACTTCAAAAGCAGTGGGTCTTGGTCCCTTGGGAGTGATACAGGCTCTACATGACTTCGTTAGATTAGCATCCATATTTCCTACAAAATCACAGGTAGAGCCTGACAGGATCCTCTTGTCTTACTGGAGTCAAAGAGAAAACAGAGTACTTGGCACTTCTCAATGTCTTCCAAAGTTTTATCTGGTTAATTACATTTTCTACATATTCTTTTAACTGTTCAAATTTTAAAATGTATTTTAAAAAAATCTATTCCAATTTAATTTTCCATTGCAATAATTTTTCTTTCCTTTGTGATCTTTTAGGCAGCTAAGTAATTTTCAGAATTTGCATAACTTGCTACTTTTTGCTGAACATCACTGGCATTGACTGTCACAAGTTCCATTCAGTTAAAATTCAGGGGCTTTGCTGGATTGACACGTATTAATAGACAGATTTCTTTTTTTGTTCCCCCCCAAATCAAGTGACTGTTCTCAAAACCAGCCTCACGATGGCAGGCCCTGGTTCTCATGAGGGGCTTCAACTACCCTGATATCTGCTGGAAAGACAATACAGCTAGGCACACACAGTCCAGGAGGTTCCCACAGAGCATTGAAGATAACTTTTTGACACAGGTGGTGGAGGAGCCAATGAGGAGAGGTGTGCTGCTGGACCTTGTACTAACAAAAAAAGGAGGACTAATTGGGGATATGAAGGTTGGGGGCAGCCTTGGCTGCACTGACCATGAGATGGTGGAGTTCAGGGGATCTTATCAACTCTTACAAAAATCTTAAGGGTGGGCGTCAGGAGGATGGGGCCAGACTCTTCTGTTTTCTGTGGCACCCAGTGACAGGATAAGGGGCAAGGGGCTCAAACTGAAACACGGGAAGTTACATCTGAATATGAGGAAAAACTTCTTTACTTTGAGGGTGACAGAGCAGTGGAACAGGCTGCCCAGAGATGTTGTAGAGTCTACCTCTCTGGAGATATTCAAAACCCACCTGGAAGTGATCCTGTGCAACCTGCTCTAGGCGAACCTGCTTTAGCAGGGGGTTGGACTAGATGATCTCTGGAGGTCCCTTCCAACCCTTGACATTCTGTGATTCTGTGATATGAATGGCCCCTCTCATGGAATCTCAAACTTTTTAAAAACAGGCGTACTCAATATTCATGTAACCTTGAGCAAGGCTTGAAAATGGCTTCAACAAACTTGACATGACATTTAAAGTTTTTTGGTTATTCGTTGAACGATGTTCCATCATCCCAATAGTAATGACTTCGGAGCACAGGCAGTCACTCATGACAGTGTGTTTTATGTGAGTGCTGAAAATTCCTACCGAAAACAGCTTGTACATTAAAAGGCAGCTGCTGGAGATATTTACTGCACTGTCATTCCCTGACCAGGGGCTCTCAGTGATGGATGAGGATTTTACACACTTTCTTGGACAATCTCAGCAAATTTTGTAGGTACGATCACTTTTTGGCAAGTGGAGGAAAATAAATACCTTATTTCTATCATCATCTAAATCAGATAAACAATTCTTAATTAAAATTTGATAATAGCTGAATTTTGCACTTAGCTGAAAAATGTAATTTCTACTTTATACTATGGAAAATAATTTGACCCTGAAGATGCAACAGTACACATTTCAGTTTTCCTGAATCACAGGAGGCCAAAGATTGGGTATGAACACCTCTTTATAATTACATATAATAAACCTATCATATATAATTAAAATATCCCTTTTATGTACTCTCTTAAATATCCCATTCTATTTAAAAGTTTACATTTATTGATTCTGAACACATTTGCAAGCTGATAAAAGCATGCTACCTGTATCAATATACAAAATAGTAGATGCACCATAGCCCTTTTTGTTTACATTCAGTCTAGGGGCAGTGGGAAAAATACGTTGTGTTTTGAAAATCAATACACTTTTTTAAAGTAGAGAAAACCATATTGTCATAGAATCAGAGATTACATATAGGTGTCGGACTTTTTAGAAAGGCAACAACAAATGAGGCATCGAAAGTAAGCTTTTCAAGCATACCAACACCCAAATTCTAACTACTTTGCAGTTTAGCTAAGTCTTCACTCCAAAATACTCAAGCATGAGTATCAATTAGTTATGATGAACTAGACTGTATAATGGAGGTGGTGAATACTTATGAATTGAGGCCTCAAAGTAAAATCCACCAATATTTTCCCCAGTTTCTCACAGTGTGCGAGGGGCAAAGGAAGGTGCCTTAGAGTGAGATTTAGAACAGCAAACAATCTAAGCAGGGAACTGCTGCAAGTTAGCTATTAAGAAGCAGTAGGTCTTGGGATCTATCTAAACTCTTGCCCATTTTGAAACTCGGTAACTGATTCAGCCTTGCAGAAAGGTGTGTCCCATAACTTGCTGCCTATAATCTGGAATTGTTATGTGGGAATAGTGACTGAGTAAAGCTGAGCACAGCTGTGTCTTTTTCTGTCTTAAAACAGCAGCAGTTCTGTTGATATTTGTGACTTTATAGGCATAGACTAATGAGTGGAGCATTCAACTTGAAGGACCACAGTCTTTCCCTTCGGTCTGAGGGGTCCTGCAACAACGTGAAATGGGTTTAGGAAAGTGCTTTAATCACTGGCCAGTTTATGTGAGTAGTCCTTGTTTCATCTGTTGCAACTCCTGTGCAGTGTAGTTCTCTGGGCTGCATCAAAAGAAGCGTGGCCAGCAGGTCAAGGGAGGTGATTCTGCCCCTCTACTCTGCTCTGGTGAGGCCGCACCTGGAGTACTGCGTCCAGCTCTGGAGCCCTCAGCACAAGAAGGACATGGAAGTGTTGGAGCGGGTCCAGAGGAGGGCCACAAAAATGATCCGGGGGCTGGAGCACCTCTCCTATGAGGACAGGCTGAGGGAGTTGGGCTTGTTCAGCCTGGAGAAGAGAAGGCTGCGGGGAGACCTGATTGCGGCCTTTCAGTACCTAAAGGGGGCCTATAGGAAAGATGGGGAAAATCTTTTTAGTAGGGCCAGCAGTGACAAGACAAGGGGTAATGGTTTTAAACTAAACCAGGGTAGGTTTAGACTAGATATAAGGAAGAAGTTCTTTACAATGAGGGTGGTGAAACACTGGAACAGGTTGCCCAGAGAGGTGGTGGAGGCCCCATCCCTGGAAACATTCAAGACCAGGTTGGACGGGGCTCTGAGCAGCCTGATCTAGTTAGCGGTGTCCCTGCTCCTGCAGGGGGGTTGGACTAGATGACCTCTAGGGGTCCCTTCCAACCCAAAACATTCTATGATTCTATGATTCATACATGGCACTTTATGATAGGGATTAGCAGTACTTCTGAAATAATGAGAACACCTTGGTCTCAACCGTGCTACAAAAAATACTGAGCAGCTAGTGTCAATTAAAAAAAAAAAGGCTTGGACACACATATTTTATGTAAATCCAGTTTTATCATCTCAGAGTTATTATTTCAGCTGCTTCCTGAATCAGGTGGCATTTTTACTGTGTATGCTCTTTCAATCAAGGAAGAACTTTTCCATATAGCATTGCTATGCCTAAGTGTGTGTCCAGTATTAACAGATGTGTAGGTAGGCAGCTCCCTGCTTAGTAAACTGGCTGCTCTGAATCTAATTCAGAAACACTGAACTTTGTGAGGCCTGGCTCAGAAAGCATACATATTTACTCCTAGATTTCACTTTGGCAAATATGCACCTAAAGAATTAACTGCTGTAATACTTGAGGTATGTATGCTGCTGGTGGCATTCTTCTTATTGGAGTGAAAGATCACTTCCATTTAAGTCAAAGTTTAAAATTAGTTAGGTACTTGCAAGGTAAAAAGTCCCACTAATTCCTCAGAAATATTAATGACTACCCTGCCAATTTTTCATTTTAATCTAGCAGGAATTAATCTGTGTTAACCCCAAACTCTTAAACACCCGGTACTGCTTCACACACTGAGTCAAAGCTTGCATGTGCTAGTGATTTGGTACCCCATCCATTCCACAGTCATGACTTTGGATTGCTACCACACCTCTCTTGAATTCCGTGCTATAGTGATAGAACCCAAGAAGTGCATTTTCAACCTGTGACTGTTGAGGTGGGTGGTTTAAAAAAGCCAGTGCACCTTGCATGTGAATTTAACACCACAAGGCTGCAAGCTGCTGCAGGTTAGCATGTAACTTTGTTTAGGACAGTAGAAGAGCTGGACTTCCTTAGCTTAGTGCGATAAAAGCAATAAAGGATATAGTTATTTTCAGGAAAAGCCCCAAGTCGAGACTGACTCACAAAGTAAGCACAAGGAAAAACAGCCATTAATACATCTCTATTAGAAGTTAAAAACTTTTGAACCAACCGAGTAATGAAGTTTTGGAATGCACATCTATAGAAGTGAAAGCAACAAACCATAACCAGCTATAAGGAGGAATTTGATCTGTTTCTGAAGACAACATTTGATATGGCTGCCTGCAACAGCAAGGAGATGGCTTAGTGACACTGGGCCACCATTTTAATCCTACATTTCTAGAACAAGGCTACCCATGGAAAACCCATAAACCATACAGATATGAACACCCTTTTCTAAACTACTTTGAACCATTACATCATGGACATACATAAATTTGGTTTGTGCTTTTGGCAGTAAACTATATTTGAAAAAAATTACAGAACAAAATGATTATATTTACACACTTACATACCTTGGTTCAAATACACTTTTAAAGTATTAAGTATAATAAAGTTACAGAAGGTTTAAAGAAAACTACTTATGGAAAGGCACTTCTACAAGAAGTCTTGTTAAGAAGAAAGCTTACATTTCTGGAGTTGCACTATTTGTCCACCTATTGTAGCAAGGTGTACCTTCCGGCAGTAGCAAGACAA